TGGGGGATATTTGTGAACTAGTTGGCAAATGGATCTGGGGCATTAAACAGAGGCAGGGGTGTTTAAATTGGGGAGTACACTGCATATGAAGGGGATTCAGCTCAAGAAATTAGATTACCCGAGGCAAACTTGTGGAGTAAGAAACTGAGATGGAGTCTCAAGAAATACCAGAATTTAAGGGATACTCCTGATCTGATAGCATTGGATTTTAATGTTAAGGTTGACATTTTGCGGACCAGTGCAGCCTGTGTCGTCCTGACAAGTAGTCCATTAGTGATTTTTTTTTTGAGGAAGAGGAAAATGTAAGTTGGGAAGTTGATTTTCCATCATTTGACACATGCTTTAGAGTAATGTTAGCTCTCAGTTATTTGTGGTAATGGAGTGCATTTTAATTCTATTTGATTTTGGATGTGTTTCACAATTCACAAAATTTTGATAGAGTAAGTTAGCAGCCAAGATACAGAAAGGTTAAAAGTCGATCCATTTCCCTATATCACAAGGTATTAAGTGAATGAAGAATGTGATAATATTATAAAATATAGCCATAAATGCCACATGCTAGGTCATCTACTCCTCAGAATTCAGAGCCCCCTGGAGTGTGCTGCATTATTCCCTTGTGTATGTTAATTGTCCATCTTGTAGAAAGGTAGAATGTAGTTTGATGCTACAGTCTGTGCTTTTATCCATCACCGGAAATTCAGGACACAATTAAAGTTATTATGGATAGCCAAATGTTTGGGTTAATTTGCTTCTTAATCTTTTGGCCCCAGTTTTTTATTGGGAAGAATTTTAAACCTATAGGAAAGTTAAAGAATTACAGTACGGCAAAGGAAGACCTTTCTCTCTGTCTCTCTCTCTCACTGTCCACTCTGCCTGTAAAAAAAAAAAAAAAAAAAAAGAAAAGAAAAAAAAAGAATTACAATGTGAAAACCAGTGTGAACTTCACCTGTGTTTGTCAATTGTGATATTTTGTCACATTTGTATACTTGCTCTCTTAGTCTCTTCCCTCCCTCTCAGTAATTCTTCATTGCATTATTGTGTATTAGGAATTTCATTAGTGTATTAGGAAAGAAATTACAGACATCAGGACCCTTTTCCTCAAAATTTCTTAAGTGTGTGGTACCTGAGAACAAGAATGTTTTCTGTATTACCTCAGTACCATTAATAAACTCACTATCACATTCAAGATATTTTATGGTGATATAATATTACATGTAGTCCATTCTTGGACTTCCGCAGTTATTTCAACCTGCTTTATAGCTTCCTCTTTAATCTTGGATTTATTCAAGAATCATGTATCCTATTTAAGTTGTCATTTGTAGTTTCTTTTTGTCCAAAGGAGTGCTCTTCCTCTTTATGGTTTTTCATCTCCTTGATATTTTTGAAGATTACAGCCCATTCATTTTGTAGAATATTCTACAATTTGGATTTGTCAAAATTAGATTCAACTTGAACACATTTGATGAAAATGCCAGTGACGTGATGTTTTGGGTGCATAATGTTACATTGTTCCATTATTTGTGAAATCAAGTTTAATTATGTGGTGAAATTGATAAGTGCTAGATTTCTTCATTGTAAAGGTGCTTTTCCCCCTCTGTAATTAAGAAACAATCTTTGAGATGATGTGTTTAAAATTTCATTACCCTTTTACTCCTCAACAACCTTTTTCCCCCTAGTGGTGTTAGCATCTACTGATGATCCTTTACTGATTCTGTTATGTTATATTGGTGGTTTCAGTCTATATTGGTGGTTGATTTTTCAGATTCTCATTCCTTCTACATACTCTTGCTGGCATTGTTCTATAGAAAAGAGCTTTTCTCTTCCTTTTTTTAAATTTAATTTTGTTTATTTGAAAGATGGAGTTACAGAGAAAGGTAGAGAGAGAGAGAGGTCTTCCATCCGCTGGTTCATTCCCCAGATGGTTGCAATGGCCGGAGCTGCGCTGATCCAAAGCCAGGAGCCAGGAGCTTCTTGTGGGTCTCCCACGCGGGTGCAGGGGCCCAAGGACTTGGGCCATCTTCCAGTGCTTTTCCAGGCCATAGCAGAGAGCTGGATTGGAAGAGGAGCAGCCAGGACTAGAACCAGCGCCCATATGGGATGCCAGTGCTTCAGGCCAGGGCTTTAACGCACTGCGCCACATTGTCGGGCCCCCCCTCCCCCTTTTGTTATTGAGGATCACTATAGATTTACTATTTAAAATTCTTTTAAAATTTAATTTTATTAATTTGAAAGGCAAAGAGACAGAGATCTCCCATGTGCTGTTTCACTCCCTAATTGCCTCCACAGCCAGAGCCTGGAAGCTAGGAGCCTGGACCTTAATCTAGGTCTCCGAAGTGGGTGGCAGGGACTCAGGTACCTGGGCCATCACCTGCTGCCTTCTAGAATGCATATTAGCAGGAAGTTGGTGTGAGAGCCCATCTGGGACTTGAACCAGATGCTCTGATATGGGATGTGGTCATCCCAAACAGTAGCTTAACCACTGTGCCAAATGCCCATTCTAGATTCGCTATTAAAAACATGTTGTAATTCATTGCTGACAATATCAAGAATACCAGTGATATTTATTATTAAAATTACTCAAATTATTCTAAGTTTGGCTAGTGAGAACCCCTTCAGGCTGACTGTTATGTCCTATTGACATGTCCCTGTCAGATTTTGAGCATTCCTTACACTCTGACATACACATACCAAAGTATTGTGGCCTCATTTTGTACATTATATGTCCCAGACTGGAATCAATCATTTTCAGAAGGACTTCTGATTCCTTTAGTGGGGAGATGATTTTGTTATTTACTTTTTATTTATTTTTAAAGAAGATTTATTTATTTATTTGAAAAAGAGAAAGAAAGAAAGACTTTTTTTTAAAAATTTTTTTTTTTTTTTTTTTTTTTTTTTTACAGGCAGAGTGGACAGTGAGAGAGAGAGACAGAGAGAAAGGTCTTCCTTTTCCGTTGGGTCACCCTCCACTGGCCGCTGCGGCTGGCGCTCTGCGGCCTGCGCACCGTGCTGATCCAATGACAGGAGCCAGGTGCTTCTCCTGGTCTCCCATGGGGTGCAGGGCCCAAGCACTTGGGCCATCCTCCACTGCACTCCCTGGCCACAGCAGAGAGCTGGCCTGGAAGAGGGGCAACTGGGACAGAATCTGGCGCCCCGACTGGGACTAGAACCCGGTGTGCTGGCGCCGCAAGGCGGAGGATTAGCCTAGTGAGCCGCGGCGCCGGCCAGAAGTCTTCCATCTGCTGGTTCCCCAGTTGGCTACAGCAGCCGGAGCTGTGCTGATCCGAAGCCAGGAGCCTCCTCCAGGTCTCCCACGCAGGTGCAGGGGCCCAAAGACTTGTGCCATCTTCTACTGCTTTCCCAGGCTATAGCCGAGAGCTGGATTGGAAGTGGAGCAGCCGGGACTCGAACTGGTGCTCATATGGGATGCTAGCACTGCAGGCGGCAGCTTTGCCTGCTACACCTCAGCCCCGGCCCCTACTTTTTGTTTTTAAAATACTTTTATTTATTTACTTGAAAGGCAGAGTTGGAGAGGGAGAGATCTTCCATCTGCTGGTTCACTTCCCAAATGGCTGCAATATGCAGGGCTGGGCCTGGTTTCAGCTGGGAGCCTGGAACTCCATGCAGGTCTCCTATGTATGTGACAGGGGTCCATGTCCTCAGATTATCTTCTCCTGCTTTCCCAGTGTGTTAGCAGGGAGCTGAATCAGAAGTGAGGCAGCCAGGACTCGAACTCATGCTCATATGGGATGCTAGGCATTGCAGGCAGTGGCTTAACCCACTGAGCTACAAGGGTGATTCATTTAAAGGAGAGTTTCTTCTTGGCATTCCATATGGAGTGTCTGGGTTTGGTTCCTGGCTCTGGCTAGTGTAAATCCTGGGAGGCAGCAATGATGGCTCAAGTAATTGGGTCCTTGCCACCCACAGTGGGAGACCTGGGTTGAGTCCCAGCTTCCTGTTTTGCCTGCCCCAATCCAGACTGTTGCAGGCATTTGGTGCGTAAACAGACAGTTTTGAGCACTCTCTACCTCACAAATAAGTAAAATTTTTCAACAGAGGAATTCTCATTCTTAATTATCCTCCCCTTATTACTTTGGGAACAGTTATTTCCAGTAAAAAAATAGAATGGATTCCAGAGCTAAGACCTCTTGAATTTTCCCAGATGTGCTTAAGTAATAAAAGTATCTAAACTGGGATATTTCACAAAATGAAGTGACCTATAGGCAGCTGAGGTGACTTATCATGGATCTAGGATATTACCTGGTGGATTAACATTGTATTTTTTTTCACCCCTAAGTTAGTGGTGAAAATGTGAAAGTGAAAAGTGAAAGTTAGTGTGAAAGTGAAAATAAGTTCATTTCCTTCTTATTCTTCTATAATCCAGGGTGTAGTCAGTTACGTGGAAACTTTGTATCTTCTATCTGAACTAAAATATTGGAGCCAAGAATTGAATCCGGGCACTCTGAAGTGAGATGGGTATCCCAACTGGCAGCTTAATTGCTAAGTGCCTGCCCCCAAATATTTTTTCGGAGGTGAGAAGGTGCTCATTTCCAGAAGCCATCAGTAGTATTTTAATGAATACCATTACTAATCTATCAGTTGGTTATATTATTATATAAATTTATTCTTTTACTTTATGTGGATGACTGCTCTAATGATTTCTTAGGAAATTAGCTGCCTGGCAACACAGAAGTGCAAATATTAAAATGAATTACATACTTCCCAACTATAACTATCACTTGGCTAAATTTAGAACCTTGTAGAGCTCCTGTAGAATTAAAATCTCTGGAGATTTTAATAGTTAAAACAGACAATATTCAGCTGCTCAGAGTAAGGAAGAAGAAAGGTAGCTTCAAATTAATTTTTGTCCTGTCATCCAAACTGCTTAATGAAGACACAGAGTCCGGAGAAAAGTCAGAACAGTTCTGAGAATAATTTTACTATTGTAGAAACCTTAGCAGTGCCTGGGCTCAGGGTGGTAAAGGAATTTTTTTCCCTCCTAGGAGAATTGCTAGAGGCTGTCCACTCTCCTTTTCCCAGTGTCTCTCCAAATTATGATGATAAAAATAATTCTTAATACTTCACCACAATGGAAGAGACAATACATCTGAGATAGAGATCAGGTGAGCATTAAGTTGGGTGCTTGTGGGTAAGTTTTATAATGTTGGAATTGTTTTGTATGTGTCTGAATTCAGTCTAGAGTTTATGTAGAATGTTTTGAGGAAAAACTTAGTAACTTGATGTACATTAAGCGATACATGAAATGTGAAGATCTGTTTGTAGTTTGGTAGTACCTAAACACAAGCAATGGCAGATAAAAGGAATGATTACTTTGAGTATTTTAATTTAAATATGTTAAAATATAGGGTAAGATTTTACAGACAGTGTAAATGATATGTTTAATACATGAATTGGTATTTGGGAAAGTAAAACTTTTTTTGTTACTATAGCAGATAATTTTAGGGATACTGGAAAAATATGCAAAAAATGTATTGTAAACCAACAAGAAAAATCCATAAAAATGGAATGCCTGGTTATTCTGGCCCTGCATTTATACAGTTGGTGAAATCAAAACATAAATGTACATATTAACTCTGGTTGATTGTTCTTCCTTTTTATTTCTCCTTCCTGCTGGGGCTTCCATAAATAAGTTTTAGAGGAGAGTGATGTGTTCATTGGCGAAATGAGCTACCATCAAAGGACTTACTAAGATGAAAGGTTATGAGGGAGGTTATGGGAAGATTTTTTGTTTTCTGTTTATCTGTTTGTAAATGATGGATATTTCTTTTAAAATTGGTAGGAAGAAAAATTATTTTAATTTTTTTAAAGATTTTATTTATTCATTTGAGAGGTAGTGTTACAGAGAGTGAGAGGGAGAGACAGAGAGAAAGGTCTTCCTTCCACTGCTTTACTCCCCAGATGGCCACAATGGCCGGAGCCGTGCCGATCCGAAGCCAGGAGCCAGGTGCTTCTTCCCGGTCTCCCATGTGGGTGCAGGGGCCCAAGTACCTGGGCCATCTTCTACTGCCTTTCCAGGCCACAGCAGAGACCTCAACTGGAAAAGGAGCAGCCAGGACTTGAACCGGTGCCCATATGGGATGCTGGCGCCACAGGTGGAGGATTAACCCATTGCGCCACGGCGCCACCCCAATTATTTTAATTTTTAAAAATTTTATTTATTTATTTGAAAGGCAAGAGTTACAGAGAGGCAGAAGCAGAGGCAGACAGAGATCTTCCACCTACTGCTTCATTCTCCGAGTGGCCACAGCGGCCTGAGCTGGGCCGATCCAAAACCAGGAACTTCTTCCAGGTCTTCCATGTGGGTGCAGGGGCCCAAGCACCTGAAACATCTCTGCTTTCTCAGGCCATGGCAGCCTGGTAGAGCAGCCAGGTCTTGAACCAGCACCTGTATAGGATGCCGGCACTTCAGGCAGTGGCTTTACCTGCTGTACCACAGTGCGAGCTCCTTTAAATTTTTTTTTTTTTTTAATAAAAAGCATAATGGGCTTATGAAACTTAAAGAGTACTTCAGTAAACTGATTCTCCAGTGGTCTTGATTGGTCTCCAGTTAGATAGTGGGTTCTTTGTTTCCTGGGCTTTGTGTCTTTTTCTTTGGGTAAACTATACTGAAACTGAAGTTTTTATTAAATAAGTACACTGTACTTACTTAATCATTAATCAGCTAGTCAACAGAATTTCTATTTAAATCTAGTAGCATATTTTTGTTTCTGTGAAAGAGTACAAATATGCCTGTTTGAACTCTGGGAGGAGGAGAAGCTGGTACTTATTAGCTTACCTTAACTTGCTGGAGGCTTAAAGATTTATTTATTTGAAAGGCAGAGTGACAGAGAGAGGGAGACACACACACACACACACACACACACACACACACTTTTTATCTGCTGGTTTACTCCCCAAATGACCAGACCAGCCAGATCTGCATCAGAGTGAAGGGCTTCATCCCTTCATCCTGGTCTCCCACATGAGTGGCAGGGGTCTAAGTACTTGGGGCATCATCCATTGCTTTTCCCAGGCACAATCCAGGAAGCTGGATTGGAAGTGGAATAGCCAGGACTCAAACCAGCTCTCTGACAGGTTTCTGGCATTTCATTTGGTGACTTAACCCAGTGTTGGCTTAATATGCTGCACCAGAGGCTTAGCATTTTGATGTCACAAAAGTGACTACTGTAAAATTTGAAGAAGATGCCTTTACTTGAGTAAAAAGTTTTTTTTAATCCAGAACTGTTTTTTTTTTTTTTAATTTATTTGAGAGGCAGAATTACAGAGAGAGGTCATCCATCCACTAGTTTACCCCCCAAATCGGGGTTGGGCCAATCCAAAGGCAGGAGCCAGAAGCTTCTTCCAGGTCTGCCACGTGGGTGCTGAGGCCCAAGTACTTAGGCCGTCTTCACTGCTTTTTAGCAGGGAGCTGAATTAGAAGTGGAGCAGCCAGGACTCAAACCAGCGCCCATATAAGATGCTGGCACGGCAGATGGAAGCTTAACCTACTACACCACAGCACTGGCCCCCTAAAAACTTGATTTTATTGTCAAGTGACAAGGAAGAAGGCTGCATTTTTCCATGGATCTCAAGGTTTTCCCAGACAACTTAAGTGTCAGATAAAATACTTGAGACCATTAGGCTAGTTAAGCATCCTTCTAGTGTTGTGGAATTTTGTGTGTTTTAGAGGACCTTACTGACTGCTAGCTGTGGAGATAAAACTTGAGCAATTAATGAACATGATACAATGGATTAGATCCTGTGATATAGTCAGAATACAGTAGAACTTATTTAAGTCAAATTTTTTTAGTATAAACAGTTACAGAAAACAAGAAAAATCAATATAGAAAGGCTTCATCAAAGAGGAAGGAATTGAACTTGCCTTTGAAGAAAGATTACTATATAAAATTTAAGTTCCTTATATTTCAAACAGAGAGATATATATTTGTGTGTGTGTATTTCTTTTTTGAGATTTGCTTTGTTATAAAACTTTTACTATGAAAGATTTCAAACATAAGTATCAAGAACAGTATAACGGGGGCCAGTGTTGTGGCGTAGTGGATAAAGCCTCTGCTTGCAGTGGGGTTCAAGTACCAGCTGCTCTAATTCCAATCCAGCTCCCTGCTAATGTACCTGGGAAAGCAGCAGAGGATGGCCCATGTCCTTGGGCCCCTGCACCCGCGTGGGAGACTTAAAAGAAGCTCCGTATCGACCAGCTCTGGCTATTGCAGCCATTTGGAAAGTGAACCAGTGGATGGAAGACCTCTGTCTCACTGTTTCTCTGTAATGCTGCCTTATAAGTAAATAAATAAATCTTAAAAAAAATAAAAAATAGGCCAGTGCCATGGCTCAATAGGCTAATCCTCTGCCTGCGGCACCAGCACACCAGGTTCTAGTCCTGGTCAGGGCGCCGGATTCTGTCCAGGTTGCTCCCCTTCCAGTCCAGCTCTCTGCTGTGGCCCAAGAGTGCAGTGGAGGATGGCCCAAGTGCTTGGGCTCTGCACCCCACGGGAGACCAGGAGAAGCACCTGGCTCCTGGCTTCGGATCAGCACGGTGCGCCGGCCGCAGCTCTCCGGCCGCAGGGGTCATTGGAGGGTGAACCAACAGAAAAAGGAAGACCTTTCTCTCTGTCTCTCTCTCTCACTGTCCACTCTGCCTGTCAAAAAAATAAATTAATTAAAAAAATTTAAAAATAGTATAAAGGGAGTGATGTTGTGTCATGGATTAAATGGCTGCCTGAAAAGTTGGCATCCCATATGGGGGCCAGTTCAGATCCCAACTGCTGCACTTCCAATCCAGCTCCCTCCTAATAGCCTGGGAAAAGCTGCAGAACATGGCCCAAGTACTTGGGCCCTTCCCATCCATGTGGGAGACCTGGGTGAAGCTCTTGTCTTTGGCCTGGCCCAGTACTGGCCATTGTGCCCATTTAGGAAGTGAATCAGCAGATAGAAGATATCTGTCTCTCTGTGACTCTCCCTCTTTCTATGAAACTCTGATTTTCAAAATAGATAGTTAAATCCTTAAAAAAAAGAATATAATGAACCTCCATTTACAAGTACCAACTCATGACTCATTTTGTTTCATCTGTATTCCTGCTACTCTCCCTTTCTCATTATTTTGAAGCACTCCTTGATGTATTATTTTATCAATCAATATTTCAGTATTCATCTCTGAAAAATAAGGATTTAGACATTTTTAAAAATTTGAGACAGAGAAAAACCAAGAGAGATTCCCACAGGTAGTTCACTTCCTAAATGCCCACAATACCCAGGACTGGACAGAAACCTGAGCTAGGAACCAGGAATGTAATCCAGTTCTCCCATGTAGATTATAGGAACCCAATCACTTGAGCCATCTCTGCTACCTCCCAGAATCTGCACTGGTGGGAAGCTGGTGTCACGCTAGAGCTGAGCATCCAACCCAGGCACTCTGATGTGAGCTGCAGGTACCTTAATTGCTGGCTAAATTGTCTGCTCCAAAAATAAGGATTTTAAAAACATAATTATCAATAGCATATACACATAAAATAATTAACAATTCCTTAATATAAGCTGTTCATATTTTCCCAATTATGTAATTTTAAAATAGCTTACATGTTTAAAATAGGATACATGGGTGAGAGCCTGGTATAGTGGTTGAGATACCACTTGGGACTCCTGCAACCTCTGTCAGTTTCTGGGTCAAGTCCTGGCTATATTCCTGTTTCCACCTGCACCCTGGGAGGCAGCAGGTGATGGCTCAAGCAGTTGGGTCCTGCTGCCTGCATAGGAAACATGGATTGAATTCCCAGCTCCTGACTTTGGCCTAGTCCAGCTCTGGTTGTTTGTATGCATTTCGGGAGTGAACAGTGGATGCAAGATTTCTCTGTCTCTGCTTTATAAATAAATGGAGGAAAAAGAAACCAACCCAAATAGTGTATTGTAGTTAACCAGTAAAGATGCTTTCTGTCTTACACTGTGGTTATGCCATAATAAATCCATGCATTTTATAAGCGTAACCTACTGAATATTTTATCTTTTTTTTTTTTTAAAGATTTATTTTGTTTATTTGAAAGAGAGAGAGGTAGAGACGGGGGAGGGGGTGGTCTTCCATCTGCTGGTTCACTTCCCAAATAGGTGCAAAAGCCAGAGCTTAGCTGATCCAAAGCCAGGAGCCAGGAGCTTTTTCAGGTCTCTCATGTGGGTGCAGGGGCCCAAGGACTTGGGCCATCATCTGCTGCTTTCCTAGGCCATAGCAGAGAGCTGATTTGGAAGTGGAACAGCCACGACTCAAACCGGCACCCATTTGGGATGCCAGCTCTGCAGGCTAGGGCTTTAACCTGCTGTGCCATAGCACCAGCCCCTAAATATTGTATCTTAACACTGTACACTGTAGAGTGTAGGTTGTTTACCCTGGTTATTGGGCACCTGACTGTGAGTTTGAGCTTGGTGCTGCCTGACATCTCTAGAGTATCATAGGACATATTGCTAGCCTGGAAAAAGAGCAGAACTCAAATATGTTTTCTGCATTGTGCATATTACTTTATACCATCATAAAATTGAAAAATTGTTAATTTGAACAATGGTAAGCCAGGGAGCATCTGTGTGTGTCCCTCCCTCCCTCTCTCTCTCTCTCTTTCTCTCTTTCTTTCTCTCTCTCTCTCTCTTCCTCCCTCCTTTCCTCCCTCCCTCCCTCCCCCCCACCCCTTTCTGATTTATTTATTTATTTGAAAGGCAGAGTTACAGAGAGAGATTTACTCCCTAAATGGCTGCAATAGCTAAGGCTGGGCCAGGCAGAAGGCAGGACCTAGGAGCTTCTTCCGGGTCTCCCATGTGAGGGGCCCAAGAACTTTGTCCATCTTCTGCTGCCTTCTCAGGCATATTAGCAAGGAGCTGGTTTGGAAGTGGAGCAGCCGGGACTGGGATACTGGCACTGTAGACGGTGGCTTTACCTGCTGTGTCAGAGCACTGGCCCCCGTCTGTGTATCTTTAACATCTCTTAATCTAAAAGAATTCCCTTACCTTATTTTTTCTTTGCCGTTTATTTGTTGAAGGAACTGGATTATCCGACTAGTACAGTTTTCTACAGTTGGCTGAACTGCTGATCATTATCATTGTGCCGTCATTTAACATTTTTCTCTGTCCCCTTTATTTTCTTCAAACTGACAGTTACATCCAGAAACTTGATCAGATTCAGATTCAGTGCTTTTGGCTACAACACTTTATGTGGTGTCTGTTTCCAGCAGGAGGTTTGTAATGTCTAATTAGTCTTCCTTTTGTGATGTTAGCAGCCATTGCTGATCATTGTCTAGATCTGGAGTGAAGTGTCCTTCTTGGTTTTATACCTCCAAATTAGCTCTTCTGCCTCTCTGCAGAGGCAACTACTATTATGCTTTTGTGCATCTGTACATTTATAAGCATAAACTATATACATTCATGCAAATATGTGTATATTCTTTTACAGAATGGTTCTGCATCCTGCTCTTCTCACTTAATATAGCTTATAATTGTGTCAAGAATTTCTAGTTTAAGGCTGCTGAGTATTACAGGATCTATATGCATTGTTTATTACTGTCTTAGTAAAGGGAGTTTTGATTTTCCTTCAGTCTTTCGCAGTTACAAAGAGTGCTACATTAATAACCTTGTACATAGATTATTTTCTGTATTTATAGGATTATGTCAATTGAGAAATTTCTAAAAGTTAACACTTTTGTAATTTTTATCAATATTATAAAATTGCCTTCAAAGATAATATGCAATTTACATTTTACACCAGCAATTTATTTCTCTACCAGTGGGTAGAAGATTTGGTGTGGTAAATATATACAAAATAATCAGTTTGAAATATCAGCTTTATCCTTCTGTGTTTACAGTGAAACACTCAACACTGGATTGTGTTTTAGCCTTGTCTTTTCAACATAATCATGAACTAAGTTCCTGTGAGGGGCTGGTGCTGTGGCGCAGTAGGTTAATCTTCTGCGTGTGGTGCTGGTGTCCCATATCAGTGCCGAATCTAGTCCTGACTGCTCCTCTCCCGATCCAACTCTCTGCTATGGCCTGGGAAAGCAGTAGAAGATGGCCCAAGTCCTTGGGCCCCTGCACCGGCATGGGAGACCCAGAAGAAGCTCCTGGCTCCTGACTTCAGATTGGCTCAGCTCCTGCCGTTGTGGCCATTTGGGGAGTGGAGTAGCAGATGGAAGACCTTTCTCTCTGTCTCTCTCACTATAATTAACTCTCCTCTCAAATAAATAAAAAAAAAAATTTTTTTTTTAAAAAGTTCCTGTGAACGAATATAATCTTTGCTATCCACTATAAGCAAATAATTACATCAGATTAACTACGTAAAGTATTGGAGAAGACTTTCTTCTTTAAACATTTATTTATTTGAAAGAGCAACAGAGAGAGAAACCTTCCATCTGCTGGTTCACTCCCCAAATACCTGCAACAGCCAGGGCTGGGTCACAACAAAGCCGGGAGCCAGGAACTCTTTCTAGATCCCATACATAGGCCAGCATCTGATGCCTTCTCAGGTTCTTTTAGCAGGAAGCTGGATTGGGATGTTGGTGTTGTGAGTGGTGGCTTAACCTGCTGCACCACAATGCTGGTCCCTCTCGTAAAGCTTTCTAGAGGAGAGGAGCCTTAACTGACAGGTGAGGCTGGGCAAATTCTAGATTAACAGCTTTTAAACATTTTGGTCTCTGATCTTTGTACACTTTTAGCATTTTTTAAATTTGAAAGACAGAGGACAAATGTAAAACTCTCATCTACTCATTCATTTCCCAAATGCCAGTAATAACTGGGTCTGGACCAGGCTGCAGGTCTGTATGTGTGTCTGGAACCCAGCAACTTGAGCTATCACTGCTGCCCCCAGCATCGCAGAAAGCTGAGGTCAGGAGATGGAGCCAGGAATCGAGTCTGGGTTCTCCAGTGTAGGATGTGGGTGTCTGAACCAACATTTTATTTGTTGGCCAAATATCCACTCTCTTATATACACTTTTAAAAATTATAGGGCTGGTGTTCAGACGTAGTAGGTAAAGCTGCCACCTATGATGCTGGCTTCCCATATAGTTGCTGGTTCAGGCCTCTGCTGCTGCCCTTCCAATCTAGCTCCCTGCTGATATACCTGGGAAAGCAGCAGCAGATGGCCTAAGTAGCTGGGCCCCTGCCACCTTGTGGGAGATCCAGAAGAAGCTCTGGCTCCCGGCTTTCGGCCATTTGGGGAATGAACCAGCAGATGGAAGAGCTCTCTCTCTGTCTCTCCCTCCCTCTCTCTCTGTAAATTCTGCCTTTCAAAGTAATAAATAAATAATTAAAATAAAAATTATAAAAGATCCCAAAGAACCTTTCTGTATGTGGAGTATATTTATTAATATTTACTATTCAAAATTAAAATAATGTATTTGCTAATTCATTACACAATAAGCACATTAATATTCAGTTTTTAAAATGAAAAAACTTTTTTAAAAGATTTTATTTATTTAGTTGAAAGGCAGAGAGAGAGATCCTCCATCTGCTGGCTCACTCCCCAAATGCCACAATAGTGGGAAGGGGGCCGATCCGAAGCTATGAGCTGGGAGCTTCTTCCGGGTCTCCCACGTGGGTGCAGGGGCCCAAGCATTTGGGCCATCTTCCACTGCTTTCCAAGTCTATAGCAGAGAGCCAAATCTGAAAGTGGAAGAGCTGAGTCTCAAACCGGTGCCCATATGGGATGCTGGCACCGCAGGTGGAGGCTTAGCCTACTGTGTCACAGCACCGGCCCCCAAAAACCTGTTTTCTAAAGCAGAAAAGGTCTACTGAGAAGGAAGACTTTGTTTTACTTTTTGTTGTTGTTGCAAATCTCTGTAATGTCCGCCTTAATAGAAGACAAAATGGATTCTTTTTTTTTTTTTTTAAGATTTTGTTTATTTTATTTGAGAGGTAGAGTTACAGACAATGAGAGGGAGAGACGAAGGTCTTCCTTCCATTGGTTCACTCCCCAAATTGCTGCAACACAGGAGCTGCACCAGTCTGAAGCCAGGAGCGGTCTCCCACATGGGTGCAGGGGCCCAAGGACTTGGGCCATCTTCTGTTGCTTTCCCAGACCATAGCAGAGAGCTGGATTGGAAGTAGAGCGGCCAGGACTGGAATTGGAGCCCATATGGAATGCTGGCCCTGCATGCGGAGGCTTATCCTACAATGCCACAGTTCTGGCCCCTGGCCTTTTACTTAATGTATGATTGGGAAATATGAATCAGTCAATTGAAATATACTGTTTTACTGACATATAGACCTCTAACTATTTGACACATTTCATTATATTTTTATTTATTTTTTATTTAAACAAATTTTAAAGATTTATTTGCAAGTCCGAGTTAGAGAGGGAGTGGCAGAGGGAGAGGGAGAGGGAGAGGGAGAGAGACATCTTCCATCTGCTGGTTCGCTCCCCCAGATGGCTGTAACAGTTGGAATTGGGCCAGGCCAAAGCCAGGAGCTTCCTCCAGAACTCCCATATGGGTGTAGGCGCCCCAAGTGCTTTCCCAGGCACATCAGCAGGGTGCTGGATTGGAAGTGGAGCAACTGGGACACCAACCAGTGCCCATATAGGATGCTGATGTTGCAGGTGGCAGCTTTACTTGCTACTCCATAAGGTAGACCCCAAGAAAGTTTTATTTTTTTTTAAAGATTGATTGATTGATTTGAAAGGCAGAGATAAAGAGAAACAGAGGCAGAGAGAGAGAAGTCCTTCATTCACTTGTTCACTTCCCAAATGGCTGCAACAGCCGGAGCTGGGCCAATCTGAAACCAGGAGCCAGGAGCTTCTTCCAGGTTTCCCATGTGGGTGCAGGAGCCTAAGGACTTGGGCCATCTTCTACTGCTCTCCCAGGCCATAGCAGAGAGCTGGATTGGAAGTAGAGCAGCGGGGACTCGAACCGGCGGCCATATGGGATGCTGGCACTGCAGGTGGAGGCCCCATCTGCTGTGCCATAGCTACGGCCCCATTACTTGAATATTAATGAGACATATACTAAGGGGTAGAAACTTAACAAAATTACCAACTTTTATTGTTTTACTAAGGAAATTTTAAAGTTATTTACTTATTTATTTTTTAAGAAGCAAGTGTTGGGTGGTAAAGAACATATTACTTAGGGACAGCGCTGTGGCATAGCAGGGAAAGCCACTGCCTGCAGTGCCAGCATCCCATATGGGTACCGGTTCGAGTCCTGGCTGTTCTACTTCCGATCCAGCTTTCTGCTATGGCCTGGGAAAGCAGTAGAAGATGGCCCAAGTCCTTGGGCCCCTGCATCCACATGGGAGACCTGGAAGAAGCTCCTGGCTCATGTCTTCGGATCGGCACAGCTCTGGCCGTTGCAGCCACCTAGGGGAGTGAACCAGCAGATGAAAGACCTCTCTCTCTCTTTGCTTCTCCTTCTCTCTCTTTGTAACTCTTTCACGTAAATAATAAATAAATCTTAAAAAAAAAGAACATATTACTGGTATAGTTTGATAACCCTGCCTTCATTTATAGAAAGGCACTATCAGTTTACCTTCTGATGCTTTTGTCAATATGATGAAAAAAGCGAATAAAACTTCAGTATTATTTTGAAAAAATAACATTTGATGTTATGAAACCTATTTGACCTCTTAGACCCAATCCTGAGATCACACTTTTGAGAACTGTGTTGTAGATAGGTGGTACATACCTAGAGAAACTGAGGTGAGAAAAAGCATAGCTTTTTTAGATCAGTTACACTAATTTGTTATGACAAGTCAGAGTACATGGTGAGAGAAAAAGAAGATAGTTAAGTTCCAGATCGTAAAGGGACAAGAGTGCAGATTTATCCAATAGGCAGGCAAAGAGGACCCTTTAAGAATATATATGTATTGGGGCCGGTGCTGTGGCATAGTGGGCAAAGCTTCTACCTGCAGTGCTGGCATCCCATATGGGTGCTGGTTTGAGTCTCTGCTGCTTCACTTCCAATCCAGCTCTCTGCTATGGCCTGGAAAAGCAGTAGAACATGGCTCTTGAGCCCTTGCACCTTTGTCAGAGACCTGGAAGAAGCTCGTGGCTCCTGGCTTTGTTTCAGCACAGCTCCAGCCATTGTGGCCATCTGGAGAGTGAACCAGTGTATAGAAGACCTCTCTCTCTCTGCCTCTGCCTCTGCCTCTCTGCAACACTGCCAGCGCTGTGGCATAGCAGGTAAAGCTGCCGTCTGCTGTGCTGGCATCCCATATGGGTGCCTGTTCGAGACCCGGCTGGTCCACTTCTAATCCAGCTCTCTGCTGTGGCCTGGGAAAGCAGTAGAAGATGGCCCAAGTCCTTGGGCCCCTGCACCTGCATGGGAGACCCAGAAGAAGCTCCTGGCTCCTGGCTTTGGATTGGCTCAGCTCTGGCCGTTGCAGTCATTTGGGGAGTGAACCAGTGGATGAAAGACCTCTCTCTCGCTCTCTCTCTGCCTCTGCCTCTGCCTCTCTGTGGCTCTGCCTTTCAAATAAATAATAAAATAAAACTTAAAAAAATTTTAAAAATATGTATGTATTTATATTTTTCAAAGATTTTTTAAAAAAATTATTTGAGAGGCAGTTACAGAGAGAGGTCTTCCATCCACTGGTTCAATCCCCAAATGGTTGCAATGGCCAGGACTAGGCTGATCTGAAGCCAGAAGCTTTTCCCAGATCTCCTATGTGGGTGTAGTGGCCCAAGCACTTGGGCCATTTTCCACTGCTTTCCTAGGCCTTTAGCAGAGAGTTGGACCAGAAGAGGAGCAGCTGGGAGAAAAACTGGCACCTATATGGGATACTGGTGCCACAGACGGAGGCTTAGCCTACTACGCCACAGCACCATCCCCTCAAAGATTATTCTTGTTTTACTGTGTCTGTGGAGGCCAGTGGTCCCAAACTAAGGCATGGAGCCTTAGAGGGTCAGGCTGTATAGATTGGTGCAGAGGTCACAGCATGTCCTTCCTGAAGACAGAACTGAGCCTGCAGCATTTGTTGGGTGGCTGGATGGACAAAAATAAAACCAGCAGCTTCCATTAAGTCTATTGAAAGTTCCCTTAAATCTTGTTTAGGCAGTTTTTTCTGGAAGTAACTTTGACATAAGAAATGTTCTGGAATCTCTTTTGCATAAATGACTTCCAGAGGTAATCACTATTCTGACTTCTATTTCCATAGATTATTAGAGTTTTTTTAAAAAAGATTTTATTTATTTGAGAGCTGGAGTTACAGACAGAGAGAGGCAGAGGCAGAGAGAGAGAGAGGTCTTCCATCCACTGGTTCACTCCCCAGGTGGCTGCAGTGGCTGGTGCTGTGCGGATCCGAAGCCAGGAGCCAAGAGCTTCCGGGTCTCCCATGTGGGTGCAGTGGCCCAAGGATTTGGACAATCTTCCAGTGCTTTCCCAGGCCATAGCAGAGAGCTGGATCAGAAGTGGAGCAGCTGAGACTTGAACCGGCACCTATATGGGATGCCAGCACTGCAAGTGGCAGCTTTACCCACTACGCCACAGTGCCGGCCCCCTGCTTCTTCTTTCTTTTGGTTTCCATTTGCTTGTAATATCTTGTTCCATCTTTTCAGTTTCAGTCTATGTGTGTCGTTAGAGGTGAAGTGATTTTCTAGTAAGCAGCATACATTTGGGGCTTATTTTTTTTTTTATTCCATTTGGTCACTCTGTTTTTTAATTGGAGAATGTAGTTCATTGACATTTATAATAATTATTGATTAATAAGTTTGTATTATTTCTGTATTTCTTCCTATTTTTCATGCTTATTCATTTTTTATTGTAGTTACATTTTGTGTGTTTTAATTTTATTTTATTTAAATATTTATTTATTTGAAAGGCAGAGTAATGGAGAAAGAAATATATCTTCCATCTGCTGATTGACTCTCCAAATGGCTGCAATGGCCTGGGCTGATCCAGGCCAAAGCCAGGAGCCCACAGCTCCTGTGGGTCTTTCATGTGACACTCACGTAGCAGGGGTCCAAGAACTTGGGCCATCTTCCACTGCTTTCCCAGACCATTAGCAGGGAGTTGGATCAGCAGCAGAGCACCTGGGATTAGAATAGGACAAGGCAGGTAGCTACATTTATTGTAGTTTCTTTCTTGTATTAGAATCTTCATTTGTGGTTAAGTTATTTTTCTCTAGTGGTGTACTTTGATTCCTTATTATTTTTGTTAAGTCCATTATAGGTCTTTGATTTGTGGTTGCCAAGAATCTTTTTTTTATTTTTATTTTATTTTATTTATTTATTTATTTTGACAGGCAGAGTGGACAGTGAGAGAGAGAGAGAGACAGAGAGAAAGGTCTTCCTTTACCGTTGGTTCACCCTCCAATGGCCGCCGTGGCTGGCGCGCTGCAACCGGCGCACCGCACTGATCCGATGGCAGGAGCCAGGTGCTTCTCCTGGTCTCCCATGGGGTGCAGGGCCCAAGCACTTGGGCCATCCTCCACTGCACTCCCTGGCCACAGCAGAGAGCTGGCCTGGAAGAGGGGCAACCAGGACAGAATCTGGTGTCCCGACTGGGACTGGAACCTGGTGTGCCGGCGCCGCTAGGCGGAGGATTAGCCTAGTGAGCCGCGGCACCGGCGGTTGCCAAGAATCTTATAAAAAACTTCTTTTGGCTGTAGTAAACTATCTTGAAAATTATAATAAGTTAGCATTTATTATAAAGGTAGGAAAGAGACAAAAAACAAAGATATAAGAAATCCTAATAGGAGCCAGTGCTGTGGTGTAGCGGATGAGGCCACCACCTGCAGTGCCAGCATCCTGTAGGGTGCCGGTTCAAGTCCTTGCTGCCCCACTTCTGATTCAGCTCTTTGTTGTGGTGTGGGAAAGCAGTGGAAGATGGCCCAAGTCCTTGGGCCCCTGCATCCACATGGGAGACCTGGAAGAAGCTCCTGGCTCATGTCTTCGGATCGGCACAGCTCTGGCCGTTGCAGCCACCTAGGGGAGTGAACCAGCAGATGAAAGACCTCTCTCTCTCTTTGCTTCTCCTTCTCTCTCTTTGTAACTCTTTCACGTAAATAATAAATAAATCTTAAAAAAAAAGAACATATTACTGGTATAGTTTGATAACCCTGCCTTCATTTATAGAAAGGCACTATCAGTTTACCTTCTGATGCTTTTGTCAATATGATGAAAAAAGCGAATAAAACTTCAGTATTATTTTGAAAAAATAACATTTGATGTTATGAAACCTATTTGACCTCTTAGACCCAATCCTGAGATCACACTTTTGAGAACTGTGTTGTAGATAGGTGGTACATACCTAGAGAAACTGAGGTGAGAAAAAGCATAGCTTTTTTAGATCAGTTACACTAATTTGTTATGACAAGTCAGAGTACATGGTGAGAGAAAAAGAAGATAGTTAAGTTCCAGATCGTAAAGGGACAAGAGTGCAGATTTATCCAATAGGCAGGCAAAGAGGACCCTTTAAGAATATATATGTATTGGGGCCGGTGCTGTGGCATAGTGGGCAAAGCTTCTACCTGCAGTGCTGGCATCCCGTATGGGTGCTGGTTTGAGTCTCTGCTGCTTCACTTCCAATCCAGCTCTCTGCTATGGCCTGGAAAAGCAGTAGAACATGGCTCTTGAGCCCTTGCACCTTTGTCAGAGACCTGGAAGAAGCTCGTGGCTCCTGGCTTTGTTTCAGCACAGCTCCAGCCATTGTGGCCATCTGGAGAGTGAACCAGTGTATAGAAGACCTCTCTCTCTCTGCCTCTGCCTCTGCCTCTCTGCAACACTGCCAGCGCTGTGGCATAGCAGGTAAAGCTGCCGTCTGCTGTGCTGGCATCCCATATGGGTGCCTGTTCGAGACCCGGCTGGTCCACTTCTAATCCAGCTCTCTGCTGTGGCCTGGGAAAGCAGTAGAAGATGGCCCAAGTCCTTGGGCCCCTGCACCTGCATGGGAGACCCAGAAGAAGCTCCTGGCTCCTGGCTTTGGATTGGCTCAGCTCTGGCCGTTGCAGTCATTTGGGGAGTGAACCAGTGGATGAAAGACCTCTCTCTCGCTCTCTCTCTGCCTCTGCCTCTGCCTCTCTGTGGCTCTGCCTTTCAAATAAATAATAAAATAAAACTTAAAAAAATTTTAAAAATATGTATGTATTTATATTTTTCAAAGATTTTTTAAAAAAATTATTTGAGAGGCAGTTACAGAGAGAGGTCTTCCATCCACTGGTTCAATCCCCAAATGGTTGCAATGGCCAGGACTAGGCTGATCTGAAGCCAGAAGCTTTTCCCAGATCTCCTATGTGGGTGTAGTGGCCCAAGCACTTGGGCCATTTTCCACTGCTTTCCTAGGCCTTTAGCAGAGAGCTGGACCAGAAGAGGAGCAGCTGGGAGAAAAACTGGCACCTATATGGGATACTGGTGCCACAGACGGAGGCTTAGCCTACTACGCCACAGCACCATCCCCTCAAAGATTATTCTTGTTTTACTGTGTCTGTGGAGGCCAGTGGTCCCAAACTAAGGCATGGAGCCTTAGAGGGTCAGGCTGTATAGATTGGTGCAGAGGTCACAGCATGTCCTTCCTGAAGACAGAACTGAGCCTGCAGCATTTGTTGGGTGGCTGGATGGACAAAAATAAAACCAGCAGCTTCCATTAAGTCTATTGAAAGTTCCCTTAAATCTTGTTTAGGCAGTTTTTTCTGGAAGTAACTTTGACATAAGAAATGTTCTGGAATCTCTTTTGCATAAATGACTTCCAGAGGTAATCACTATTCTGACTTCTATTTCCATAGATTATTAGAGTTTTTTTAAAAAAGATTTTATTTATTTGAGAGCTGGAGTTACAGACAGAGAGAGGCAGAGGCAGAGAGAGAGAGAGGTCTTCCATCCACTGGTTCACTCCCCAGGTGGCTGCAGTGGCTGGTGCTGTGCGGATCCGAAGCCAGGAGCCAAGAGCTTCCGGGTCTCCCATGTGGGTGCAGTGGCCCAAGGATTTGGACAATCTTCCAGTGCTTTCCCAGGCCATAGCAGAGAGCTGGATCAGAAGTGGAGCAGCTGAGACTTGAACCGGCACCTATATGGGATGCCAGCACTGCAAGTGGCAGCTTTACCCACTACGCCACAGTGCCGGCCCCCTGCTTCTTCTTTCTTTTGGTTTCCATTTGCTTGTAATATCTTGTTCCATCTTTTCAGTTTCAGTCTATGTGTGTCGTTAGAGGTGAAGTGATTTTCTAGTAAGCAGCATACATTTGGGGCTTATTTTTTTTTTTATTCCATTTGGTCACTCTGTTTTTTAATTGGAGAATGTAGTTCATTGACATTTATAATAATTATTGATTAATAAGTTTGTATTATTTCTGTATTTCTTCCTATTTTTCATGCTTATTCATTTTTTATTGTAGTTACATTTTGTGTGTTTTAATTTTATTTTATTTAAATATTTATTTATTTGAAAGGCAGAGTAATGGAGAAAGAAATATATCTTCCATCTGCTGATTGACTCTCCAAATGGCTGCAATGGCCTGGGCTGATCCAGGCCAAAGCCAGGAGCCCACAGCTCCTGTGGGTCTTTCATGTGACACTCACGTAGCAGGGGTCCAAGAACTTGGGCCATCTTCCACTGCTTTCCCAGACCATTAGCAGGGAGTTGGATCAGCAGCAGAGCACCTGGGATTAGAATAGGACAAGGCAGGTAGCTACATTTATTGTAGTTTCTTTCTTGTATTAGAATCTTCATTTGTGGTTAAGTTATTTTTCTCTAGTGGTGTACTTTGATTCCTTATTATTTTTGTTAAGTCCATTATAGGTCTTTGATTTGTGGTTGCCAAGAATCTTTTTTTTATTTTTATTTTATTTTATTTATTTATTTATTTTGACAGGCAGAGTGGACAGTGAGAGAGAGAGAGAGACAGAGAGAAAGGTCTTCCTTTACCGTTGGTTCACCCTCCAATGGCCGCCGTGGCTGGCGCGCTGCAACCGGCGCACCGCACTGATCCGATGGCAGGAGCCAGGTGCTTCTCCTGGTCTCCCATGGGGTGCAGGGCCCAAGCACTTGGGCCATCCTCCACTGCACTCCCTGGCCACAGCAGAGAGCTGGCCTGGAAGAGGGGCAACCAGGACAGAATCTGGTGTCCCGACTGGGACTGGAACCTGGTGTGCCGGCGCCGCTAGGCGGAGGATTAGCCTAGTGAGCCGCGGCACCGGCGGTTGCCAAGAATCTTATAAAAAACTTCTTTTGGCTGTAGTAAACTATCTTGAAAATTATAATAAGTTAGCATTTATTATAAAGGTAGGAAAGAGACAAAAAACAAAGATATAAGAAATCCTAATAGGAGCCAGTGCTGTGGTGTAGCGGATGAGGCCACCACCTGCAGTGCCAGCATCCTGTAGGGTGCCGGTTCAAGTCCTTGCTGCCCCACTTCTGATTCAGCTCTTTGTTGTGGTGTGGGAAAGCAGTGGAAGATGGCCCAAGTCCTTGGGCTCCTGCCTCCTATCTTCAGATTGGCACAGCTCTGGCTGTTGCAGCCATCTGGGGAGTGAACCAGCGGGTGGAGGACCTCTCTCTCTCTCTCTCTGCCTCTGCCTCTCTATAACTCTGCCTTTCAAATAGAATAGATAAATCTTAAAAAAAAAAAAAAAAGAAAAGAAAAGAAAAGATGGAGCCAGTGCTGTGGCATAGTGGGTAAAGCCACCGTCTGCAGTGCTAGAATCCCATATGGGTGCCAGCTTGAGTCCTGGCTGCTCCACTTCTGATCCAGCTCTCTGCTATGGCCAATTGGGCAGTAAACCATTGGATGAAAGACCTTTTTCTGTCTCTCTGGTTCTTCTCTCTATGTAACTCTGGCTTTCAAATAAATAAGTAAATCTTTAAAAAAAAAAAAAAAAGAAATTCTAATAAGAACTCTGTAGTTGGCCGGTGCCGCGGCTCACTAGGCTAATCCTCCGCCTTGCGGCGCCGGCACACCGGGTTCTAGTCCCGGTCGGGGCGCCGGATTCTGTCCCGGTTGCCCCTCTTCCAGGCCAGCTCTCTACTGTGGCCAGGGAGTGCAGTGGAGGATGGCCCAGGTGCTTGGGCCCTGCACCCCATGGGAGACCAGGAAAAGCACCTGGCTCCTGCCATCGGATCAGTGCGGTGCGGCGGTTGCAGTGCGCCGGCCGCGGTGGCCATTGGAGGGTGAACCAACGGCAAAGGAAGACCTTTCTCACTGTCCACTCTGCCTGTCAAAAAAAAAAAAAAAAAAGAACTCTATAGTTGTGCTATAGTTGTGCTCCATTTCTCCCACATTTTGAATTTTTTAAAAAAATTTATTTAAGGTACATAAATTTCATCAAATTTTGAATTTTTGATAATTACATTTGACCTTTATCAATATTGCTCGTCTCTTTAACATTTAATTATTATCACTTTTAAAAAGTCTTCTGGGGCCTGAGCTGTGGCGTAGCAGGTAAAGCTGTCTGCAGTGCCGGCATCCCATATGGACGCTGGTTTGAGACCCAGCTGCTCCCCTTCTGATCTAGCTCTCTGCTATGGCCTGGGAAGGCAGTAGAAGATGGCCCAAGTCCTTGGGCCCCTGCACCCGTGTAGGAGACCAGGAAGAAGCTCCTGGTTCCTGGCTTCGGATCGGCTCAGCTCTGGCCATTGCAGCCAACTGGGGAGTGAACCAGCGGATGGAAGACTCTCTCTCTCTCTCTCTGCTTCTCTTCTCTCTGTGTAACTCTGACTTTCAAATAAATAAATAAAGTCTTCTCAGTAAAGATATACATGGTTTACACATCATGTTTACAAGGAGCATTCTGAATTTATTTGTAGAATTACTCTTGCCAGTGAATTACCTGCATTCTGATATTTTCTCCTTGTTAGGGTTACTTTCTTTCAGTTTGAAGAACTCCCTTTAGCATTTCTTATAATACCTGTCTGGTAATGATAAATTCTCTCAGCATTTGTTTATCTAGGAGTGTCTTTGTCTTTCCCCCAAGTCTGGATACTGTGTTTTTGGCTAGTACTTTCTTTCTTTTAGTGTTGTAGAAGGTTCATCCTGCTCCTTCCTGGCCTGAAAAGTCTGCGGTCAGGCAAAATGCGTTATTTGCTTCTTTTCCCTTGCAGCTTTGAGAATCCTTTCTTTATCTTTAACCTTCGAAAACTTGACTTTTGGGGTAGACTTGGTTGGGTGACTCTGAATGGTGACCTTTGACCTTCCTGTACTTGGATGATTCTATTTTTCTCTAGGTTTGGGAAGTTGTCTATCATTATCTCTTTGAATATGCTTTCTACCCCTCTGGCATTCTCAGGTCTTTACTGAATCCCAGTAACTCAGACATTTGCACTTTCTGTCCTATCCCATATTTTGTATAAGCTTTTCTCATTCCTCTTGATTGTTTTTCTCCTTTGTGTATTTTCAAATAATCTGTTTTCAAGTTCACTGATTCTTTCTTCTGTTTGTTCTGTTCTACTATTGATGCCTTATATTGCATTTTAAATTCTACTTAGTGTAATTTTTAAGTTGAAGGTTTTCTGTTTGATTTTTAGAAAGTTTTATTTATTTATTTGAAAGGCAGAGTTACATACAGAGAGAGGGAGAGGCAGAGAGAGAGAGAGAGATTCTCCATCTGCTGGTTCATTCCCCAAGTGGCTGCAATGGCCAGAGCTGGGCCTATCTGAAGCCAGGAGCCAGGAGCCTCCTCTAGGTCTCCCACATGAATGCAGGGCCCCAAGCACTTGGGCCATGTTCCTCTGCCTTTCCAGGTACATAGCAGAGATCTGGATTGGAAGTGGAGCATCTGGGACTCGAATTGTTTCCCATATGGGATGCCAGCACTGCAGGTGGAGGCTTTATCCGCTACACCACAGAGTTGACCCCCAAAAGATTTATTTATTTCGAAATAGAAGGAGAGGCACAGAGTGAGATCTTATATCTACTGGTTCACTCCCCAGATGGCTGCAGTGACCAGTCCTGGGCCAGACCAAAGCCAGGAGCTTTATCTGGGTCTCCCACATGGGTGGCAGGGGTCCAAACACTTGGGCCATGTGCTGTTTTTTCCAGGCCATTAACAGGTAGCTGGATTGGAAGTTGAGCAGCTGGGACTTGAACAGGCACCCATATGGGATGCTGGCATCACAGGCAGAGGCTTTACCTGCTACGCTATAAGACTGGCCTGTTTCTGTTTGATTTTGTTTAATTACTTCCTTTCCCATCAAGTCTCTGTTAGAATATTGAATCATTTCTCTGTGTTCTGTTGAATTTCATTTAGTTTCCTTTAAACAGACATTTTGAAATCTTCATCTGAGCATTTGGAAATTTCAATTCTTAGATAGTTGGTTTCTGACACCTTGTTTTGTTCTTTATGTGATGTCATGGTTCCCTGGAAATTATGTTTTTTTAAAGATTGATTTCATTTGTTTGAAAGGTAGAGTTATAGAGGAGGGAGGGAGGAAGAGAGAGAGATTGTTCTTTCATCCACTAGCTCACTCTCCAAATGGCCACAATAGCCAGATCTGTGCTAGGCCAAAGCCAGGAGCTTCTTCCAGGTCTCCCACGTGGATTCAGGGACCCAAGAACTTGGGCCATCTTCCACTGCCTTCCCAACTGCATTAGCTGGGAGATGAATAGGAGGTAGAGCAGCTGGGACTCCAACTGGCTCCTATGTGAGATGTTGGCATTGCAAATGGCAGTGTAACCCATTGTAACACAGTGCCAGCCCCCGGAAGTTTTTGATGCTGTATAATGTCATCTGCATGTTCAAGGATTATCGTAATCTGGCTGTCCTTTGAGAAATTCCAAGCTGTCTATTTATTTATTTATTTATTTGAGCCTGTGGATATTTCTGCTATTTATTTCAGCACTAGATAGTACCCAAAGTTGCAGTTTGCTCCAGGCCCACTGTTGATATATATTTTCACTGATTCAGTCTTAGAATACTCCCAAACTCGAATTTGCCCCAAATCTAAATTGATGTATTGTTCAGTGTGAACTGGCTAAGTGCCTAAAAAGGGGCAGTGCATCCCTACAAGCCTCTTCCTGGGCCTATGTTTGGCTTAGATTCCTTGGTTTGTGTCCACAGATGCCACAATACTAGATCACATGTAGAGCTCTCATCCCACCAAGACTGGTGCAGCATGGATAGGACCAAAGCTCACTCAGCTAAGGTCTGTCTACTCCTGAGGTGGGCTTACTGCCTGATGCATCAGCCTCCTGGTGATGTTGGATAGGGTGTAAGACTGCTGACCTGGGACCAGGAACTCTGCTGGGTACTGAATGAAGCAGGTCCAGAGGATCTGTGCAGGCATGGACCTGGGTACAGGGTCCATTAGAATTTACTCAATGCTGGCTTTTATCAGCCTGGCCGAGTGCTAAACAGTTCTGTGATTCCTGGCTGTCTGCCTAAGGTTGAAGGAAGGGTGATAGAGGCAGTTCCTCAACTATTCAGGCAGGCTCTAGTTGGGTCACACCTAGATCTCACAGTCACTAGGCCTTGTGCAATTTTGTGGTTGCACACCAGACCCATAAGAGTTGTACATGCTGAAAGAAGTCCGTCTCACCAGTGCACAGTTCTCTGCTGGCGCTGGGGCAAGTCCAGAGACTCCATCCACAGGCATTTGCCTTGGAATGGAAACCTTTAGGATCTGCCCAGTGTTGGGCTTTGCCAGACCAGCACTGAATCCCAAGACACAATTCCATGGCCCCTTGCTTTCTGTCCAAGGTTGGAGGAGTAGTCCTCTGACTACCTAGGCTGGTCACATCCTGTGTCCCCTAGTTACAGGTCCCTACAAAGTCCCAGGCATGTCTGCCAAGCCCACCAGATTCCAGCAGTGACACATACCACAATGAGTCTGACCTTCCCAGGGTGCAGATCCCTGCCTGATGCTTGAACAATTCTAGATGTGATAGAGGCTTTAGGGTGTTACCAGGTCTCCATGTGGTAGTCTGTCCTTTTTTTTTTTTTTAAGATTTATTTATTTGAGAGGCAGAGTTATAAAGAGGCAGAGAGAGAGGTCTTCTTCCACTGGTTCACTCCCCAGTTGGCTGCAACTGTTGGAGTTGTACTGATCAGAAGGCAGGAGGCAGGAGCCTTTTCTGGGTCTCTCATGTGGGTGCAGGGGCCCAAGGACTTGAGTCATCTTCTACTGCTTTCCCAGGCCATAGCAGAGAGCTGGATCGGAAGTGGAGCAGCCGGGACTCAAACTGGTGCCCATATGGGATGCTGACGCTGCAGTCCAGCAGCTTTACCCACTACGCCACAGCACCGACCCCTCTATTTCACTGGCCCCTTTTTTTTCATTCATTTTAAACGAAGTGCATGCTTGATTTGTTTTTATTGGCCTTGATATTTTTCTTTTTCAAGTTAGAACAAAACAAGCAAGGTTAAAAAATACTTTCTGTGATTACTTGGTGTTACCAGGTACTGAAATTTTCATATTACCCTAGTAATACCTGAACATCTGCTAATGTTGAGGGGACCAGTTTCTTTGCCAGGTGATTTTTAACTTCTTTGTAAAATTGGTAATAGCTGGGGCCAGCGCTGTGGTGTAGCAGGTAAAACCACTGTCTGTAGTGCCGGCATTCCATATTGATGCTGATTCGAGATCTGGCTGCTCCACTTCTGATCTAGCTCTCTGCTATGGCCTGGGAAAGCAGCAGAAGATGGCGATGGCCCAAGACCTTGGGCCCCTGCACCCACCTGTGAGACCTGGAAGAAGCTCATGGCTACTGGCTTTGGATCAGCCCAGCTCTGGCTATTGTAGCCATTTGGGAAGTGAGCCATCAGATGGAAGACCTTTCTCTCTCTCTCTCTGCCTCTGCTTCTCTTTAACTCTTTCAAATAAATGAATAAATCTTAAAAAAAAACAAACAGTAATTTCTGAGGGTTAATAATTCGGTCCTTTTTATGGGCTCTTGGCTGTTAAGTCATCTAGAATCACTAATATGAGCCTGAAGTACTACTTTTTTTTTTTTTTTTGGACAAGTGCTCAATGCAGTCATGCAGGGCAAGGCTCCGTAGCAAGGAAAGGTGTCTGGATTGTGGTTGTCTTGAGTAGACAGTGTTTTTATACATGAAATAAACAAAAATCTTTGGCAGGGCTCAGATCTTAGTGACCTGTTAGCCCTTCAGGATGAATCAGAATAAGTTCTACGTGATGTGACAAGTGGCACAGTGAGCCCCTTGCTTTTTGTTGGGCCTCATTAAGGCTGCCATAGCCCTTATTTTAGAGAAGAGTAAAAGTTATTGTTCAAGAATTCAGATGACTTTCAAAACTGTTTTGGAGGGGAAAGGTCACTTTCAGTATAGGTGTATTATTGGAAGTGACATATGGCTGTTTTTTTAGATTATAGCCATTTTGGTATTCCCAAACGTTAGAGTGGATGTTTAAAACTTGTCTCCAGGCGACTAGAGGTTAGTCTAGTCAATATTTTTTTAATTAATTGTCCTGACAAGTGGATAATCAGATAGTAATCTGATTATTATTATATTGGTAATCAGAATAATAATCCAGACAAGTGGATTTTTTAACTGTAATTTCTGATTTACATTGCTGAAACCAGTAATAATCTGATAACAGTGGGAATATACAGGTGGCATTTTATTGCCAAAGCTGGATGTTGGCCGGGTGGAAGAATCTAGTAAAGAGGCTGTAACTGTAGGCTCCTTGGGGGTTACAATGCATGGAGGATAGAAGAGAATTAGACTTTTTCCAGAAAGTATTCTGTTTTTAATTATAATGACTACAATTTGATCAACAAAACCCTTAGAGCAGTCAAGTACTAGTGTATCTTTTGAATTATGTTGCTCTTGATTCTCTGACTCAGAGTTGAAGAACAACCCCTTGGTGTAGCCAGGCTCTCAGTGTGAACAACTATGGCCACTTAAAATGAGACACCCTGGGTATGCCTTGAGGGCTTGTGGGGGAAAGGCAACTAGTAATCTTTTTGTGGGTTGTAACAAGGTATTTCATGGGAAAAAATTGACCAAGTGGCCAGTGTTTTAGGACCAAAGTTGGTGGTAAAAAGGTTAATGTCCTCTAGACATGTCTTTGCATCCAATTACTGCATGTCTCTGATGCTAAACCCTTGAAGTGCAAAGCCTGTAAAGAAACCAGAAAAGCATCCTCATAGATTTCTTTGAAAGGTATTGAGAAAGCAGACTTCAGAGGTAGACTCTTTGTGGAACAAGATTACAAAGCAAAATGGTGAGTTGAGATACACCTCTCAACATAGAACACAGTAGGACTTAGGTGTTTCCTGGCCTTCCAGGAATATAGACTGACTTGGGCATGTGGAGGGTATCAGTGGTGACACCCAGCGCTTTGGGCTCCTAAAGTAGATTAAGAAGCACCCCTAAAGCAGATTAAGCTCTCAAGGTGTTGTAATAGCGATGATAATAATGATGATGGTGGTGATAAATATTACAGTAAGGGAAGGATATATTTAATTATGTGTTTGCAATGCTTACTTATACTCATTGAAAAAAAAATTCTGTCTCTGGCCCCTCTTCATTTCTATGTCTCCCCTACTAAGAGCATCTGGGATCTGCTTTCTTATTTCTAGACTTGTCTTGTGTAAAAGGATAATGTTTTAAACATAGCTGCAGAGAGGGTTAGGCGTTGTGGTACAGCAGGTTAGGCAGCTGCTTGACATGCCTGCAGCCCATAATGGAGTGTCTGACATCTAGGCCTGGCTCTGTTTCTGATCCAACTTCCTGATAACGTGCCTGGAAGATGTTTGGGTACCTACCACCCCATGGAGACCTGGATGAAGTTACTAGCTCCTGGCTTCAGCCCAGCCCAACCCCTGCTGTTGTAGCTTTGGGGAACAAACCAGGATGGAAGATCTCTTTCTCTCTGTCACTCTACCTTTCAAATAAATAAATAAATCTTAGAAAAGGCCCAAAAAAAGGGATTCTTTTAAGAATAAAGTAGACCAAAGTCGGCACCATGGCTCACTAGGCTAATCCTCTGCCTGCAGTGCCAGCACACCGGGTTCTAGTCCAGGTTGGGGCGCTGGATTCTGTCCCGGTTGCTCCTCTTCCAGGCCAGCTCTCTGCTGTGGCCCAGGAAGGCAGTGGAGGATGGCCCAAGTTCTTGGGCCCTGCACCCACATGGGAGACCAGGAGGAAGCACCTGGCTCCTGGCTTTGGGTTGGCACAGCGTGCCGGCTGTAGCAGCCATTTGGGGGGCGAACCAACGGAAAAAGGAAGACCTTACTCTCTGTCTCTCTCTCACACACTAACTCTGCCTGTGAAAAAAAAAAAAGTAGACCAAAATACTTTCCCTTCAGTAGAGCAGAAAGAACAAAACAAGAGTTTTTTTTTTTTTTAATTGTGAATTGAGAGTGGGAATGGAACTGGAGAGTTCAGGGGAGGTACAGCATTATGAGAAAAATGAACAGGGGCCTGCACTGTGGTGCAGCAGGTTAAAGCCCTGGCCTGAAGCACCGGCATCCCATATGGGCGCCAGTTCTAGTCTTGGCTGCTCCTCTTCCGATCCAGTTCTCTGCTATGGCCTGGGATAGCAGTAGAAGATGGCCCAAGTCCTTGGGCCCCTGCAGCCACGTGGGAGACCCAGAAGAAGCTCTTGGCTCCTGGCATCGGATCGGTGCAGCTCCGGCCATCTGGGGAGTGAACCAGTGGATGGAAGACCTCTCTCTGTAACTCTTTCAAATAAATAAAGTAAATCTTAAAAAAAAAAAAAAAGGAAAGAATTAAAAGGAATTGGGAAGGAAGATATTCATATATTAATAGAGGTGCTGCAGTGACTTTTGAATTGAGTTAATTTTCTTTGAGCATCTCAATATATTAACTTTTT